CAAGGCCAAAAGAAGAATACCTGGATTTCGGGCTGTTACACTTTGTGCTTACAGTGTTTTGTGTTATGTGTTTTAGGTACTAGTGAGGATCGCGAGAAGGCGCCGGCTTGATCGGTACACACACGGGATTTTTATGATATGAGATCTTGGGGTTTTTATATGTTATAAATTGAGTTTCAAACAATAATGTTTTTATGATTTACAAATGAATTATGTTTTTATAAATGCGAAAAATTGTTTTGGAAATTTACGGTGTTACACCTATAAATAGAAGCTTAAGGGTGTCGGGTTTGGTACTCATCTCTTTCCATCTAAGTGTCGTTACTATGTGTAATGACCTCGAAAAGCAATCCAGAAGCCCCAGTTTTCACATTCAAGTTCCGAAGGAAGGTTCTACACTCCCGGGATTCCCGAGAATCCCAAGAAAATCAACTCTTCCAAGTCGAAGTTCTGCTCGATTACCATCTCGATTTCTCCCATCAATCAAGTGAGTTCATACCCCTATAAACTACACTTTCAAATGTTTTATCAATGCTTTTTATACACTTTTAAGGGGGGGGATACAAGTAAACACACGCTTATTATCGTGTGTAACATAAAGATTCACTATATACTCTTTTTATCAAGTAAATCATATGTGATTCATAACTACTACATGAGAACTTTCGTATGCAATATATATTCTCGATAACATCTTGTATTATGGAAATAAAACATGTTTATATATATATATATATATATATATATATATATATATATATATATATATATATATATATATATACACGAATCAAACACTTTATTTATACTTTAACTATATGTGATCATTTATGTCACTATAAATGTTATACTTTACATAACAAGTGAGTATTACACTAGGGTTTACTATACGAACGAAACACCCATTTTGAAAAACTATAATAGGTATAGTTTACGAGAAAATCATGAACATTTACATATTAGAAACACTATATCAAAGAGATATTTTCATACACAAGAACAAATGTACATTTTCGTATGTAAATCTATTTTTATACTAAGTTTTGTGAGACATTTCACGTACTTTCGAGTATGAATTTTAAGTCCTGTATTATATACCAAAATCCATTGTAGGGGGAGCGTGATACTTGTGTATAGATCTATACAGGATTGACAATCCCACACCTAAGCTGTTAGCTACAGCTAGGTCGATAGGCCTAGGGTGACAAACGTCATAACCTTCCAACGCTTGAAGAACATTGTTATAGGCATCCTTGTCAAATAGCATGGTTATAAGACTCACATGGAGTATTAAAAACACATTGATTTACGGGGTTCTCCAAATGCCTTAGCGATTTATACACAAATCTACTATTTTAGGCATGACAAGCACTATTGCATTACAAGTTTGGAACAATTAAACTGCCATCTACTATAGTAGAAAATATGGGATTTTCTAGGAACATTCAAACATGTACAAACCATTTCATTCTATTTCATACAAACATTGTTACTAAATACTTATGAACTCGCCAGCTTAAACGCTGATCTACTCTTTAAAAACTACTTGTATTTCTCAAGAATTCAGTAAAACAGGTAAACAAACAGCTTTTGAAGAAGGGATGTTGTGGCGTCAGTTTAGTTTCATTTTGACATCATATTGTAATTTGTTTTGAAACAAGTACCTTTCAACAATGTAAACTTTTAAATTATATATATGATGGTTGTATTACTTTCTTTACTATGTATTCAATTGTTACGATGCTACATGAAGTCATCCGCCCTCGAACGATTCCGCCGTTCTGGTTTGGGGGTGTGACAATAATGCATCTTATATTCTTATACACAAAAAGGAATTCAATAGTATTAACGGAAAATTATACACAATATGGGTACATGCAACCTATACAACCTGGGTTCATTCCAATCCATCTAAAATATGGAATTCCCTAACAAAGTACTTAAATTCCATTAAGATTAACTCACCTTTATCAAGAAATGATCATTCACTCTTCGAGTCATGCAAGCACTTGAGGTATCAAGATTTACCCTAATACAACACAAACAAGTATATTACTAGTTGTTTTCAAGATAAACAAAATGACTATTCTATACCCCAAACATGTAAACGAATTACAATATCAAATTCTTAAATTTTGACCCGAAAAAACAGCTTGTCCAAGGCCACTTTACCACCACCAAAGCCTTCAAAATATAAAATATTTTTCCATAGTCCAGTATTTTAGACTTTAACATTCCAGATACTACTTGTATAGGTCCATACAAGTTTTATACAATTTACTATGGATTTTACAAAAATGCATATCAATGCCACTAATTCCGGACTGGTCTGTGAAAATGATGATTTTTCACTTTAGTTAGAAAAAACATTAGGTCTAGGGAAAAATCAAAGACATACTAGACTTAAATAAGAACTTTGAGAGTTTATGGATCCTAAATCCAACTCCTTATGGTTTTTCTATAATTTTTACAAAACATGGACATAATAAGTATTTTCATATAATTTCCCAGCATTGACTTTTAAGGGTTAATTAACATCTTAACCCATTAATCCCTAACCAAAAATGACCCCCCAAGATGGAAATTAAGTTCTTAACAGTAGCAATAAGTCGTTGAGTCAAAAGGACAATTTCAACTTCAAACCATAACTCAAAGCACATTGCTTTTAAGGAAAAAACAAAGTATGATGCTAAAAGAGAAAACACAATTTGGGGTTTGAGTTTCCTCCATCATTAATCCATATATAAAGACATTTAAGGTCTGTTTCGAGAATCTTTTGGATTGTTCAAAACATGGTCTTTATGCAGAAAATACCTCATATAAAATCACTAGAATTGAGATAGAAAGAAACATGAATTTTAGCAACAAAAAGGAAGGTATTGATTCCATGATTTTAAGTAACTCTTAAACGTGATTAACAACACTTTTATGGTGTTCATAACAAGATTTTTGACAACCATAAACCATCAAAACACACCTAATATAGCTGGAGTTTAATCAAACATAACCACTAGAATTAAGAGGAGAAAGCAATTTGATCAAGAATTTCAAAGAGAAAGCAATTGGTAATGATTTCAATCAATTCTCATCAACTTGTGAATCAATTTCATAAGAAGGAAATCAAAGGATTACAAATATTGATTCCTAGCCCCGAACTGAATCACAAAATTGCAGCCCCAACACCATTTCTATCTCGGCTCTCTTTCTCAGTCCCATTACACTCTCTCCATCGCTGCCTTGCTCGACTCACGTTTCTCTTCCCTCTATTTTTTCCATTAGATACACACACAAGAGAGGAATTAGGATTCAATTTTCTTTGAGTTCGCTTCTTAGTTCGATCATGCCAAAAACAGATGTAACGAGTAGGAGCGATCCAACTCTTTGGAAGTTATACCATATTTTTACTAATTGGTCCCTCAAGTGTCATAAGTAAATTCCAAACACTCGTAACTCTAATGAGATAACAATTCAAGTTACATTTAATGATAATTTGGTCCTTCGTTCCTATTAACCCATTTAATGACTAGTAATTATCTCAAATACCCATAATTTAAATATCTTGACCATTCTTTTAGGTATAAAATAACATTATTTTTTATATTATAACTCATGCGAATATATAATCATAAAACTGAAATTGCTAACGAAAATTAAATTTCAAAGTAATGGAAACTAACCTTGTTGACGGATGGAAATTTTGGGTCGTTATAGATATGCTGACTCAAACCATGGTGGTAATATGGTGAAACGAAGATTACTGATGTGTTATATCTACACTCGATGTAGATGTGCTGTTAGTTGGAATTCAGCATTACAAGATATTGTTGCCTTATCTATAATTAAATCAGTGTACATGTTTATGATAGAAGGAATAAAGGAAGAGATATGATTGCATGGGCTCATTTACACCTTGTTCTCGAGTTTTTTCTGGTAAATTCAATAAAGGAAAGGGAAGGAAAATTTTGATAGAAAGAAAGGGAGGGGAAGGAAAATATTCATTATTCTGTATTCTCGAGTTAGAAGGAAATGAAAGGAAAATTTTAAGTTCTTGTGTTCCCAAGTTAGGAGGAAAAAGAAAATAAAACTTAAAAATTTCCTTCGCCTCACTGTCTTCCCGAATCCACCCAAACTGGGAGGAAAATATGGCTCCAAAATCCTTTCCCTCCCCTCACTTTCTTTCCATTAATGAAACTCGGGAACACGATTTTCCTTCGACACCCCTCACTTCCCTCTATATCCTTCCATTTCCCTCCTTAAGTGGAACTCGGGAACAAGGCGTTAGAGTCTTGGTTTGAAGATAGAGAATCATGTATTATACTGTGAAAGTTAGAGTGTGTTGAGTCTTACAAAGAATCATGTGTATCATGAGAAGAAGAATCACATTGATTTTGGTTAAACTTCATTCATGACATTCTGGAAGAAGACAAGTTATCTATACTAAAGATTGATACCAAGGTGAATCCACCAGACATGTTGACAAAGTATTTTCCCATAAAGAGGTTCAAGTTATGCTTGAAATTGGTTGATGTTTGTAGGTGTCAAGTTTATACGGGGAAATATGACAGGATATGAGAAGAATTTATTGGTTTCTAGAGGAGTTTAGAGAATACTCAAGTCAAGATGGAGATTTTTAAATATGGCTTGAGCATTGGGAGAATTCTCATATAACATCAAGTATCATTGAATCATTTGGAAACTCAATGGAACACTTGGAAGAATGTGTGAGCATTATGGATCACACTGGAGCATTTGGAGCTTAGGTTGGACAATTTGAGAAGGAATTGGAGCATCATCTGATGAATCTTGAAGCAAGATGTGCCATATGTAGGAGGATGTGCATCCTATGATCAAGATACGCCACCTATAATCAAGGTGCAGTATCTTGGTGCAAGGTGCCATTATTCTGTGCCTTGATGTGCTCTGAAGTGTCGATATGTTGTTGATGTGCTGCTGAAGGCAGGGATACACCATTAATGATCATGATGTGCCACTTAAGCATCATGATGCACCACATAGGTTCATGGTGCACCATTGCGGATCTTAATGCACCACTCAAGTTGTTAGGTATGCTAGGGGTGCTTAATGTAGTCCAAGGATGCTATGAAGTTAAAGGTACTCGAAGTGGGTGCCCTAAATTGCATGGTGCGTCATCATGATGGAGGATGCGCTATCATGATGCACTATAATGTGTGTAGCTAATGATCATGCAATGTCTCTCAATGTTGAAGGTTTAGAAGCAGCTGCATGATAGATTGTGATTGGTTGACTCCTTTTGTGGGCCTATGGATTAATGAGCTTGGCTCATTAGGGTTTTAAGTCTGATTCGTAGTCTATAAATAAGAATGTATGTTAGTCATTTATTGGCGTCTTGAGTTCTAAGTATGTGAATCTTTGTGAAATTTTACTTATAATCCTTATTTGAGAACTCTTGAATAAGAATATTCCTCCTATCCGTAGACGTATGTCATCTTAACCGAACCACATAAATAATCTCTTTGTGTGTGTATGGTTTTGTGTTTTATTTGCTTACTTCCTAACAATAAGACGACGTTTGGTTCATAGAATGTTTTTGAAGGAATTAGAATCTGTCTTGAATTGGAATCTAATTTAGTATTCTTGTTGGTTAGCAGTAAATGGAATTTGAATCCAATTTTATATTTTGTTTGGTTGGCGAAAAATGGAATTGGAGTTGTGTAAAATGATAGAACTACCATTCTTGGTTTTTGCTTACTGTTACTTTTTTTTTTTTTTTTAATAACTATATGTAAAGATATATTATATAAATTATAAAAAGAATAAACGGTGGTGGCCGCGGCGGCGATGGTGGTAGAAGCGACGGTGGTGGTGATGGCGGTAGTGTGTGGTGGTGATGAAGGTGGAGGTGATGGTAGTAGTGACATCACTAATGTTAATGGTAGAGGCAGTGGTGGTTATGGCGGTGGGTGTTAGTGGCGGAGGTGGTGGTGGTGGTGGTGGGTGCAGGTGGCGGCGACAGTGGTGGTGGTGGTGGAAATATAAATGATGGTGGTGATGATAGAGTTAGTAGTAACTACGGTAGTGGTAGGGTGGTGGTGTAGGTGGTAACGAAGGTTATGTGTAGTAGTGGTGACGATGGTGTTATTAGTGGTGTCAGCAATGGTGATGGTGGTAACGGAAGCGGTGGTAGTGGTGGCGAAGGTGGTGGCAATGGCGACTACATTAATGATGATGGTTAGTGGTGGTGGTGGGTGGGTGTGGGTAGGTGGGTGGCGGAGGTGGTGGTGTTGGGTGGTGGAGGTGGTCGCGAGTAGTGACGGAGGTTTTCCATATCTAATGTTAAAATGAAAAAGGTAATATGATAATCTTCAACATTTCCACTTGAAGGAATTTGAATTTCCTCATCTTTTAAATGAAATTTATTTTCCCCGGATAGATGGAAAATTTGACACATTTAGAAATCCTATTCATACCCAAAACTTGAACCAACATAAAAAAAATGATGAAATTAAATTCTAATCCTTTCCTTCGAATTCCAATACATTCTAGCAAATCAAACGATCAAGTGTATGCGTATACCATATGATATTGACATGATTATCAATATGTCTATTATCTTATTTTACTTCGAAGAAAAACAAATATCGAACTTATATGACAATAATTCGGTCCAATAATATTTTATCGATATAAAACAACAATTCATTTAATTATATTATAATAAATATTTTAAAATATGATGATTTGATTGACCTTGTTTCATTAAAATAAAAATAAATAATAGTATTATATTTCTCTCCATTTACTATTTTTTATCATTTAAAATCTAATAATGTATCTTCAACCTGTCGTCTTATACACTCGCTTTACAACAAAAGGTACCCAGTTGCTGTCACGCAGTCAAGAAAGCCTCTCGACCTCTGTCAGCAATTGAAAGTCATTATGTATATGTCGCCATGTATGTAATGCGTATACACCTATACATACATAGTGACATAGTTACATACACTGTACTACACTATATCTATATATACACACACTCACATAAGCTCTAGATCTCAGTGTAAATGGTGTTTTTCTGTCGACAAAAAAACCCCTTTCTTCCTCTTCCCCAAACACACATTCTCTCTCTGTAAACACTTTTTCTTCGTAATTTGAGATTTTTCCTTTCGGAAAACATGGAAAGCAAATGGGTTTTATTGTTCTTGATGATTTTTCAACTGGGTTTTGAAATAATCGAATGCAGTGTTACTTACGATAGCAAAGCCATTGTTATCAATGGCGAAAGAAGAATTCTCATCTCTGGTTCCATACATTACACAAGAAGCACCCCTGAGGTACCCTAAAAACTATTCACATTTTACGATTTTTTTTTTTTTTTTGTTTAATTTATCGATGGAAAATGAGGGAATTAATGAAGTTGAATTTGTGGGGGGTTTTGATGAAATTGTTTGTAGATGTGGGAAGATCTTGTAATGAAGGCGAAAGATGGAGGGCTTGATGTGATTGATACTTACGTGTTTTGGAATGTTCATGAGCCGTCTCCCGGCAATGTAGTTTGATTTTAATTTTTTTCTTTTTTTTTGGGTTTAATTTTTGTAATTTTATGATACAAAATTAAGGTTTTTTTATTTAATTAATTATTTTTTTCGTTGATTTTGTGAAATTTCAGTATAATTTTGAAGGGCGATATGATCTAGTGAAGTTCTTGAAGACAGTGAAAAAAGCAGGGATGTATGTTCATCTTCGAATCGGACCTTATATTTGTGCAGAATGGAATTTTGGGTAATTTTCTATGTTTTACCTTTTTTTTTTTAATGCCAAAATTCATAAAAAGGAATTTTTCATGTGTCAAAATATTAATAATCAAATTATTTTTTGCAGAGGATTTCCAGTTTGGTTGAAGTATGTTCCCGGGATTAGTTTCAGAACCGATAATGAGCCATTTAAGGTCACAATTTTCTTTTATTTAGTTTTATGTATAAAAACGAATTTTAATAACTACAAAAAAGCTTAATCTTTTTTTTTTTTTTTTTAAATAATTTTTGCAGAATGCCATGAAAGGGTTCACTGAGAAGATTGTGAATTTGATGAAGAGTGAAAAGATGTTTGAATCTCAAGGAGGCCCAATTATTCTTTCACAGGTATAATAACCAATTTTTTTTTTTTTGAGATTGTTGTGTGTTTTTACAGAATCTTGATTTCAACATTTGTATGAAAATTCAATTTGTTTGTGTGGCCAAATATAGCCTTAACCATTTTGACTGCCAGTCAAAATAGTTAGTTTGGAAAAATTCCGGTCAAACCTGATATAACAGTTCAAAATAGTTAATTTACAAAAATGTTTGTAACACTTATAATAAATAGTCTGATTGGGAAAAAAAAAAAAACACAGTAGTAGTAAACCAGCAAAACTGCCCTAAAAATATTTTTTTTTTTTCCTGGTGAATTGCTCTTTTCTTAAACTAAATCGATTAAAAATTTATTTAAAAGAGTTTTTTTTTTTTTTTGCAGATTGAAAATGAATATGGATCGGTAGGAAAGGCATATGGAGGTGCTGGACATAACTACATGACTTGGGCTGCAAATATGGTTGTAGAATTGGGGACAGGTGTCCCATGGGTCATGTGCAAACAAGATGATGCCCCCCGATCCCATTGTAAAAATAATTTAAAATAATATAATTTTTATAAAATTAATGATTAATATTTACTATATATTTTTTATTATGGCAGATTAACACATGCAACGGTTTTTATTGCGATGAATTTTCACCCAACAAGCCATACAAACCCACAATTTGGACCGAGGCTTGGAGTGGATGGTACATAATTTTCTTTCTTTTTTATTTTTATTTAATACAGAAATGACGACTTAATAGTAAAAAGTAAAAAAATCACGCTGTCCCAAATTTACTTTTCCCTTTTTCATTTCCCTAAGTGTAATTTTACTTTCTCAAATATTATTTAGATAAACATCATTTATCCAGACAACACTTTATACAGACAGGATGACAGTATTCTGTATTCTGTCAGGTTCACGGAATTTGGCGGTCCGGTCTACGAGAGGCCGGTTCAAGATTTGGCATTTTCCGTTGCGCGGTTCATACAAAAGGGCGGATCGTTCTTTAATTACTACATGGTTTGTTTTACTCATGCAACATTTTTTTTTCTTATTACGACATTATACTTTGAAAAATCTAGTGAATTATAGCATTGTTATAATTAGGTTTATTTTTTACAATATAGTGCTATAATAAATTATAATAAATAAATGAATGATAATACATTTCTACTTCTTACTTTTTTTTAAAAAAAATATTGGAAAACAGTATCATGGAGGCACAAACTTTGGTCGTTCTTCTGGAGGCCCATTCATCACTACTAGTTACGATTATGATGCTCCACTTGATGAATATGGTGAGGCTTAAAACTTTAAAATGCAATAAATAGCAACCTACTTTCACTTATTTGTGTATTACATCTTTACATTTATAGCATCCTACTTTCATTTCTTCCAATTTCTTATTATACTTTGAAAAAATCTAATTAAAAGAAACAAAAGTAAGATTCTAATATGTTATGACTTATTATAAATTTTAAATTTATAATAAACAAATGAATGAAAGTACATTGCTATTTCTTTTTATAGGTTTAATCAGGCAACCAAAATATGGTCATTTAAAAGAGCTTCACAAAGTCATTAAGGAATGTGAGCTTGCTTTAGTTTCATCAGATCCTATTATCACCTCTTTAGGAAGCCTCCAACAGGTTATTTATTTATTTATTTTTTCTCATTTAAATAAATCAAAAAGAAAAAAAAAAAACTATGTAACTAATTATTTAACATTTTTTTTTCAGGCTCATGTATTCTCTCCTAAATCACAATGTGCAGCTTTTTTGTCAAATTATGACCCGAATAATGTTGCAAAAGTGACATTTAATAATGTGCATTATACATTACCCCCTTGGTCTATTAGTATCCTACCTGATTGCAAAAATGTTGCTTTTAATACAGCCCAAGTATGTAATTTTTTTTATTATAAAGTTTACAATTTTTTTTTATATATAAAATTTTTATATTATAGTTTATAAAATTGTCACAGATTGGAGTTGAATCAACCAAAATGGAGATGTTATGGAGTGATTCAAATATGTTTTCATGGGAGACATATAATGAAGATTTAAATATTGTTGATGAAAGTTCTATAATTACTTCAATGGGTTTATTAGAACAAATTAATATAACAAGAGATACTAGTGATTATCTTTGGTATACAACTAGGTAAAGCAAACCAATTTTGTATTTTAATTTTAATTTTTCTTTTGGTTTGGATTTAATAAAATATGTTTTTTTTTTTTTTTTTTTTTTTTTACAGTGTTGATGTTGATTCATCTGAATCTTTTTTGCATGGAGGAGAGCTTCCAAAGCTTTTGGTGCAATCAAGGGGACATGCTCTTCATGTGTTTATAAATGGAGAATATTCAGGTTTGTTTTTGGGATATTGTTTTTTTTATTTATTTAAAAGAATTATTTAATAATTGAAGTGTTTTTAGGTTCTAGTTTTGGAACAAGAAAACATAGGAAAGTTATGTATAAAGAAAAGATCAATTTACATGGTGGAATCAATAAAATTGCACTACTTAGTGTTGCCATGGGATTACCGGTTAGTTTTTTTTTATTTTATTTTATTTTATTTGTTTATATAAATATTGGAATTGAAAAAGTTAATTTTTTTTTTGAATTTTGTGAAGAATATTGGTGGACATTATGAAACATGGGAAACTGGAGTTTTAGGTCCAGTGGCTTTGTATGGTTTCGACAAAGGAAAACGGGACTTGTCGTGGGTCAACTGGAGTTACAAGGTTAGAATCAGAGAAGGAATGGAATTGTTAATTCCATTGTTTGCTGGAATGGAATTGACCATTCCGGAAGGAATTTGATACCTTCCATTTTGTTAATTAACTTTTTTTTTTTTTTTTTTTTTTTTTTTTTTTTTTTTTTTTTTTTATATTATATGTAGATAGAATCATAGAATATACAATTCTAACTATACTATTACTATACATTAATTTTGAATTATAATAAACAAACTTTCGTTTACAAAAATAAAAAATTAAACGTAATAAAAGCTCATTGAACCCCAATAAGTTATAATAAAATTAGTATCTTTTGGATATTCATATTCCAAATAAAACGGGTTATATTGAAATTTCCCATTCTGTTCCATGATGTTACATTTCTTCAGGAATGATCCATTCCATTCCATCCGTTTCATTCTATGGAATGAACCATTCCATTCCTAATTCCTTCCATGATTCCATCATTCTTAAAGAATCTTTTTTTGAACAGGTTGGTCTAAAGGGAGAGTCCATGAATCTCATCTCCTCAAATCCTACATCTTCTGTCACATGGACTCAAGATTCTTTAATCACACAAAAACAGCAACCATTAACATGGCATAAGGTAAGTCAATGGTCAATGGTCAATGGTCAAAAACCTTTATATTCTAATAAAGATTTCATTCCCAAATCCAACTTTATAAAGGGTAGCAGAAAAAACAAATCTTTATCTGAAACTCAAGGGCAAATTCGTCATTTTGCAATAATTGCAGGCTTACTTCAATGCACCAAAGGGTGATTCACCATTGGCTCTTGACATGAATAGTATGGGAAAAGGTCAAGCATGGGTCAATGGTCAAAGCATAGGAAGATATTGGACAACTTTTGCTTCTGGTAATTGCCAAGGGTGTCATTATGCTGGGACCTACCGCCCGTTGACTTGTCAACTCGGGTGTGGTCAACCAACCCAAAGATGGTAAACACCTTTCCACTTATGTTTTGACTTTTATACCCCTCATCATGATTCTCTCTCTTTCTTCAATTAAAACGAGGGGTGTAAAAGTCAAATCACCTTTTTTTAAGTGGATGAATCAAAATCATAACATTTTACTGATAAATTAGGTATTATTGTTTCAGGTATCATGTGCCTAGATCTTGGTTAAAACCAAAAAATAATTTATTGGTGATTTTTGAAGAACTTGGTGGGGACCCCACTAAGGTTTCACTAGTGAAAAGATCAATAACAAGTAACTAACAACAATTTGGATTTGAGAATTTAGTCTTTATTAATATTGTTGTTGACCAATTTGTACAATAATAGAGGAGGATATAGATACTTTGTCATGGTGTGTTTTGTGTAAGTGTTGTAATGGGAGATAAGATGAATCCCTATAATTAGTTTATTTGTTTAGGAGTTGATTTTTTTTATAGTGAAAGTGAGTGATTTAGGAAGGAATAAATTGGTTTGTACAATTGAATCCCATATTTTTGTTGTTGGAATGCACTTTTGGCATGTTTTTTTTTTTTTTTTTTTTTTTTTTTTTTTTTTTGACATAATAAATGTATGCACAAATTACATAAAAAACCATTATATTTTAGGGACTTTTGTGGTTTAAACACTAAAACTTGTACTTTTTTTAGTAAAACCGTAAATGTTCGAGACACTTTTCCAAATTAATCATTTTGACTTGTTTTGTTATACTAGGTATTACAAGTAATTTTCTAATTAACAGTTATATTATATTAGGTCAAATTGGTTGAATTGGAAAAAGAAACAATATATGTGGTTGAAACCATAAAATTGCCTAACATATAATGTTTTTCTTTGTCTAAACATTATTAAAGCTTTTCACTAAGGTAAAAATATGCATGTTATTCTATTAGAATTTTGAATCAACAAATGGAAGTTGAAAGAAACACATAGGATGATAATAAGTGTTTGTGCATCTTCTAAAATAAGATGCTAAGTTGAATGGAAAGAGAAAAAAAGAAGAGTAATTTTGGTTTTTTTGAACACAATGCATCATCATCATCATGCACTAGTACTTGAATTACCAGAGTGTTTGATGATTGTTTGTTGAAGTTCTTCTTTCTTTGCTCCAACAATTTTTCCCACACTCTTCCCATCTTTTATGAACAAGAAGGTTGGCATTGCTTCAACACTCCAGTCTGATGCAATTACCTGTATAGTTAGAAGAAAGATAATTATGAATTAAAGATCTTGAAATTTGTTAAAAGTATAATGTTTTTTGAGTTTCTTGAAGCCATTGAAAAACTCATTAGTTGTTGTGTTTGTTATTCAATCAGTAGTTCAGAAATGCTATGTTTGATAAACTAACTGAAAAACTAGTTGTAAGCTGATAAACAAATATTTGGTAAACTAGCTGAAATATGTTAAGTAATATAAAAGGGAATGTAGAAGATTGAAATTAAAAAAAAAAAAAACACAATAAACTCATTGAAACGTTAGTTTGAATATACTTTTAAAAAATTAGTTTATAAGCTATTTTTTGTTTTGACAAAGATTACGATATATAAAAGTTGGATAAATAATTCCAAACACAACCTAATTATCAAGAATAACTAGATAAAAAAAATTTAAGAATAACTGTTTATGTAGAAATTGTATAATATATAACAAAAATGCTACGCAATCTTTTATATGTTTCTCAAGAAAAGCCGTTATTTTTTTAAAGAAGAAAATCTACGAAAGTCATTGAAATCTGCTAAACTTTCCATTGAAGATCATCCTAAAGATTTTTACCTTCTAGATTGGCCACTAAAGCCATTGAATTTTGTTAACTTTTCATTAAAGCCACCAGAGAAATTTGTAACATTTCCTAAATTCATTGAACTCATTTGAGTTTTGAGGTTTGTTAACTTTCTAAAAAAACCCAAATGTGAAATGGTTTTCATGGTAAAATTAACAAAAAGCTGAAATGCTTTCATCTCATGTAAAGATTCAATAATGGCTTTTATGGAAAAAAAATAACAAAATATAAAAGCTTTCGTAACAATTGCTCAAATGAGAATGCCAAAAAAAGACTATGTATTAATGTTTTTGTCCAAATCACTTTTGTATAAGAAAATGGCGTTATTTTTTGTTTTGTTTTGTTTGTTTGTTTTTTTTTCAATTATGTTGATTTATTTACATTTAAAAAACAAATAATATGATTTAAAATGTCATTCTTTCATCGTTTTTAGAGCATCCACTATGGTGAGTTCAATGAAAAAGTTAAATGAAGTGACAAGTCTAGTTGTCATTCAATAGATGAAACTCTACCATAGTGAGATACCATCTTAGCATTCAATGGATTTGAAGTTCAATGACCATTGAACTTTTCAATGGGAAAAATGAAAGTTTTCTAATCTTAAATACATATTATAAATTAGCTTTTTTAACTTTCTATTGAACTTTGTAGAGTTGAATGCATTTTAGGAAAAAATTGACTGAGTTGTATGGAATTTAAAAAAATGATGTGGCAATCCTTTGAACTCTATGGAGTTCAATGCATTGTGGATCGCCCTTACAAGCAACACCAACAAAAGTTTGAATTTTGCATATTTTCTAGTCCAAGTTCAATGAATCACGTTCGACAATCGACATTATCTTGTTTCCTTTTGATGACTAATTATACTTTAAACAATGTGAAAAGAATCACCATAAAAACCATTTGAAACATAAATAATAGAAATATATTAAGTTTGAATCATCACAATAAAAACTAAAACCTTTTGTAGAAGGAAAAAAAGGAGTAAGATTTCTTTATAATAGTAAAGTAATCTATTTTAACTTTTTACCTTCAACTCATCCACATCAACTTTGAGAAAGGTAACATGTGGCATTTTCTTAGCCAATTCTGCTACAAATGGAGCAATAACCCGACAAGGTCCACACCAAGAAGCAGCAAAGTCCACAACTATCTGTACACATATCACATTTGCTGAGTAATTAGATCTATATTCTATATATTCCAATATTTATACATCATAATTTGTCTCAATCAGTCATTAAATCGAGTTTTTTAGACGTTAATCTTCATAATTTAGGTTAATTAGCTTTGGAAACACCCTAATCCGAACAAAACAGCATACATCATATTATCATAATCGACCTCGATGAAGATGAATGATATTGAAATCTGAATGGATCACTATAAATCATAAAATCAACGTAAAAACGAAAAATCACAAACGTTTCCACGTAAAATGTTTCATGCAATTTCATAGAGATAGATTTAACACAAGTAATCTGTTAAAAATTAAATGACGTACCAATTTGTTCTTGTCTTTTTGAAGATGTTGATTCCATGCATCAACAGTGTGACAACCAATCACTTGTCCTTCTTCACCCATCTTCAAAAATCAAAATCTTCACAAATACCAACAACCAAAAGTGTCTCCTCAGAATAAAATTCAGTTAGGTCTACAAAGATAACACACGAGTCATGATAATAATATAACATATCATCAGCTAATTCAAAAGCCCATAACGCAATATTAGCCTTTGGGCCTATGTTATATATTATTATATATTGTATATATCATTATTATTATATATATTTTAGATAATATAAGTGCTTACAATTATGAAACGAAGAATAGTGTTGGCTTCATTCACCTTCGCCACCTCAGCTTTCATTGCCAGATGTTGCTTCTCTCTTTTCCCTTATGTTTGTCATGATATTTCATATTTGATTTATTTACAATGAAGCGATCTTTTCTTGCATGTCTAGAAGCGCAGTTGTTTCTTCTTTTTCAAGAATATCAGCAAATCAACCATTTTCATATGTTCGTGGTTTTTTAGTCTATATTTCAGACCTTTTGAACACACCCATCTTGCATACGATCCCTTTAATTAGTTTATGGGGAGTGTTTTTTTCAAGCAAATGCTCTTAATTCATGTCGGTTTTGTCTCCTTAGTTGGTTTCTTCAGTGGGTCTATGTCTATATCCATCATCATGGTTTCCTTTAGATTTAAGTTTAAAGTTAACTTGTAGAAGAACATACCCAAATAATATTCGATCACTATAATCAGACGAAGTGTTCTTGCTATATTGGTTATCTTTAGGTTTCAGTTTATGTTGAACCTCTAGAACATACACAAATTATATCCAACGAAGAAAGATAACCCTTCATCAGTGCTTTTAAACTTTCTTCGTTTGTACATGTAAGCACGAATTATCTTTTTGGTTTCTTCATGTAGTAGTCTCTATATTTGGTGCTTTGGCTTTTCGATTAAGGGATTATGTGTCTTATTGACTTCTTAATTTAATTGATTCCCCATGATTGATTTCAGTAACCCTCAAATCTTCCAATTAACTGCTTCCTCCTTCATCATCGGGCATCACCAAGGTTAGTTTTAGGTCTTAAAATCTCCTTATCTTCTCTTATTGTCTCTTTATTTGCTTAGATTTTGCCGGTTTGCATTCGTTTTAGGGTTGATAAATATGATTTTATCAATTTCATAACGTTTGTTGATTTACTGAGAGTTCAGCAATACTATTACATTTGTTTGCCGATAATATCACTTTTTATTTATTTATTTTATTGTTGATTTTTACCAATTTCCACTTCACTATTTTGAAATAACTTGGGTGATTTGGTATTAATTTCGAATGTATTTATGCCTAGAATGATCCCGGTTGTATATGACCTAACTCTTGCTTAAGTAACTCATGAGATACACAATTTATTAGGTTTCATGAATCAATACTCTCATGGAGCATGCAACAAACGGATACGATAATTACTAGGAACATAATGTTTTTATAGGATTCTAAGATAAGTTATCTTACGTAGAAATATTGTGCGAAAGAAATAAATATGAAATAAAAGACTAAAATTGGAAACCATGAGAATTAATCTCAAACATAATTGAATACACTAAAATCGGAAGCCATGGTACTTTGAGAAGCATGTATAATATGCGTACAACAAACCGTTTTATAACAAAATAGTGACAAGCTAAAATTGAATACCTTTTCGGAAATGAGGAGGAATAAGGGAGTTTCTCAGTGAAGTAGAAGAAGGTTTTTACAATTTGAAAATATGTGTAACTTTTAAAAAAGGTCTATCTTCATAAGTTTTAAGTGCTGAGGGTTGATAAATATGGTTTTATAAATTTCATAATGTTTGTTGATTTATCGAGAGTTTAGCAATAGTGTTACATTTGTTGGTTGATAATTTCACTTTTTTATTGTTGAATTGTATAAATTTCCACTTCACTATTTTTAGATAACTTAGGTGATTTTGTATTGACTTCGAGTGTATTTATGTCTAAAATGATCCTGATTGTATATGACCTAACTGTTGCTTAAGTAACTCATGAGATACACAATTTATTAGGTTTCATGAATCAATACTCTCATGGAGCATGTAACAAATGAATACGAGAATTACTAGGAACATAATGCTTTTATATGATTTTGAGATAAGTTACCTTACCTTTCTCTAGATTTGATTTTGTGAAAGAAATAAATATGAAATAAAAGACTAAAATTGAAAATAAAGA